ATTACGAGAATATGTTTGGTTCGGGTAAAGAGCAGCACTATTATAGAAACCTGGTGGGTAGATGTGGCAATGGGAACACTACACATGAAAAATAAGGCATATAGCGCATTCTGCTTTATTTTATGGCCATGATCAAATTACAGGTCTGAGGATAAAAAGTGCAACTTGTACAAAATATCACCATCGTTTACATGTGTCTTAAGTCTAGAAATATCAAAGGAGAAGTTCACCTTAAATGTTACCCATAATCAGGGTGTATTGTAACATGCTATAAATGGACTGGCCCCCTCAACCCCCCCCCCCCCCCCCCCCCGATCCCCTGTTGTGACAGTTAGCAGGGGATCATTCCCCCCCCGTTGGCAGTCACAATTTTAAAAAAACTTGAACATGCGGGTCTCGGCCTGCCCTTTGCGACTGCTGGCTTGTAGTTCTCAGTGAACTACCACGGAGTCTTCCTGTTAGTAGGTATATCTGCTTTTCCTGCAAAAAATGTGCATTTATTATTTTTTGTTAAAAGGTGAACTTATCCTTTAAGAATTCATCTCGCTGGTCTCGGGTGAGTAAATTCTGGCTGGTTTCCTCCAGTTAGCAAACTGCAAAAAAATCAGCAGCTACAAATCCTAGACATTGAAAGGAGAAGCAAGAAAATGATGAGCTGGTCTCTGTCCGGTGCTTTCCTCCTATCAGCAGCTACCGATCCCATTCCAGGGATCAGGCACCATCCTCACCTTGGCTAGTTTTTCTCTAGTCTTTGGGTTCCCAGAGCTAGCATCCTAACTGTGGGCAGATGGTTATGCTATGTTCGGCTTCACACCTGGCTGCCTACTGCGTATGCGCGAGCTATGCTGCACTTTGTGAATGCTCCCGCAGTCTTCTGAGACCTATGACATGTCCCAGAAGACTGCAGGGAGGGAAGGGGGAGGAAAACTTCCACTCAAATCGCCTAGTAGTTCAAAACCGGTACCCGCTCTCCCTCCCTCTAAAATGACATGCCAAATATGAGAGAGAAGGGGGAGGAAGACTTAAAGTGGAACTCCTCTTTTTATGTGAAGTTCCACTTTAAGAGGAACTCCAGGTGTATACATACATGAGTAAAATAGATATAAGGTAGCTGTGTTACCTGCCAAAACATTTGTATTTTTATGTACCCAGTCTAAAAATGTACATGCTCTGCCACACATCAAGCCCTGTCTAGCTAGGAGGGAGACCTGATTATTCTCTGCTGCAGTTCAGTAACTTTAACAGTCCCACACAACCCTTGCCTACAACTGGACATTGAAAGGAGAAGCAATCAAATGATGAGCTAGTTTCTGTCCTTCTGTGCTTTCCTCCTATCGGCATGATCCTTGCACTGCAACACAACTGATTGGCTTCTTGTATTACCTTCTCCCAGCCTCAGCTCTGCTTCAAAGTGGTTTGCATGAGGGCTTTATTAATGCAAACTTTTTTACTGAATGAGGATGTAATTCCCTGAATATACACATATAATTTAACCAAAGGCCAATTTCAAGCTGCTTGTTTTAAGTTTATTTCATGATCCTTAAGCTGGTTACGCACGGATTGATATTTGGTCGGTTCAGCAGAAACAGAAACAAATTTAAATCTGTATGTAGTCCTTTCTGTTCAACAGAAGTTGGTTGTTAGACTGGCTTCTGTTGAACAGTCCTGCTGGAAAACCAGTATATGATCAGCTACTGAAGCCAATGGCTGCAGCTCTTATCAGTGTATTCTGATGATGGGGGAGTCCTTGCTGTCATTATACAGTAGTGCAGTGGGGGGAGATCCCTGCATCCAGATCACTTGTGTGGATACAGGAATCTGTAAAGTTGTTTTTTTTCGTTCCGCTCACTGGTTGAATGAAAAAAACTTCAGTGTCTACCCAACTTTAGTATGACCACTTGACCAAGTGTGAAATTAACTAACTAGTGACCTAATTGCAGTGCTATTCTGAAACAGCATGACAGTTGTTAGAAACATGAAGTACAATTTAAAAGAAGCTCCAGGATACAGTTTGAACATTTTGTTGAGTCACAAGTCAGACCTAGAATCAGTTCCTCAACACATGTCTTGATTACTGAATCACATCCCCGTGACTCCCCAGTCAAGACAGAAATTTGAGAAGGGAATCCTGTATATGTGTGCAAGCCCTGACATGTCAGGAAAGCCATTATATAGAAACATCAGTGATTTCATTGTAGACTTTGACACATATTCTCATAAATCCTGAAGAAGCATCTGCTGTCATGGGGCTACTGTGTGATTTATGTCTACATCAGCCTGTGTGTTCTGCAATGGTCATCTTGAATGTATGCATGAATTAAACTCACAATAACACCTGTGTGGAAGATCAGAAGTATGACAAGAGACTAATAGAGGTCTGCTTGAAACACTCTCTTGATGGTTCATATGATCAATAGTCGTAGCATCAATAGGCAATTAATAATGCTTATTTCCCTCTTAGATATAGCATTTGCTATATTTAGATATGACCTTACTTTAAAAAATAAGCTTCAGAAAAACATGAACATTTTGTAGTTCCAGTGACTTGGAGACACAACTTAAATGGAATTACAGTACATTTTTTTTGGAAAGAGTAGGTAAGGAGTAATGTTATTCAGTCAGTATTTTAATGCTCTATCCTTTTTAATTGATGAAATTTCCCCTTACTTCCTCTCTTCACAACCATCATATTCAGTTAAAAATGTGAGAAAAAGGCAAGCCATACACAAGCAAACTGAATCACCAGATTCCTCCATCCATGCTAAACAGCCACAACTGTATGAATACCCAAACAGTGATTGAATATGATTGGATGCAGCCACCATACGGCTGAAAATTTTCCACCCAGTTTGATTTTTTAATATAATTTTGCTTGTTGGTGATGACAGGGCAAACCACAACTCAAATGTTGGCCAATTCAGCAGGATATTCTAGCCGTGTATAGCCAGCTTAAAGCTCTTCACTGGGGACACAAACACCAAAGAAACCTGGAGAAGTTAATCTCCCTTCCTTTGCTTTACCAAAAAAAAAGTATTTTTATCACTGTCATTGTGTCCCTGTTGAAGGGATATTCCTTAATTCCTTACCAAGCCAAAAAAAGGGATTCCAGTCCAAGGACCCCTTTTGGAACACATGAGTGGAAATCTCTCCAAAGGAAGGACAATCCCCTTACCTTAGACAGTTGTCACTAAAACAAGTCACCAAAAAAAACACTGGCCAATAGATTGGCCAAATGTATCTCCAAGCTTATACAGGGACCAGGTGGGCTTTGTCCCAGCTAGACAAGTGGCGGATAACACTAGGAGGACCATTGACTTGATCGATCTCGTCAACAAGTCCCCAAAACCCACTCTTCTAATGAGTTTAGACACCCAAAAAGTGTTTGACCTATTAAGTTGGCCTTATACGTTTCTCATCTTGAAGAGATTTGGATTTAGTGGTCTGTTTGTAGAAGCTTTGAGAGCCCTCTACTCCACTCCCTCTTCCCAGATCAAACTGGCTTTGTACTTATCCCCTTTGTTTCGGATATCCAATGTTACGAGCCATGGATTCCCTTTTTCACCTTTACTGTTATCCTCTGTCTGGAGCGCCTAGCTATAGCTATCAGATCCAATAATGATAGTCATGGGATACACATACACAATAGTGAAGCTAATTTCCCAGCCCTTTTTCACGCCATTTCTCAATCCTAAAAAAAGTTACAAAAAAGGTACACACATGCCTCCTCATCAGTATTATGTTTTCCTACAGATACGACATTTTCTTTCCTCCAAGATTTCCTCCCTGACTCTAGAGAAGCCCACTCTTTTCGAACACATTTGCATTCAAGGTCCGTACCAACGGGGCCTAATTTCATCTATGAGCTACTTCAAGACACCTGTCCCCTTTCTATGGATACACATCTTTATATGCAGATATGGCCCTAAATCCTTCAATGAGATATCCTCTTAGATCAATGGAACAGGATCTGGGAGGCCGCCTCCAGATCTTCTATATGTGTGGTATATAAAGAAAACACTTATAAAATTTTGATGTTCTGGTACAAGACCCCTGAGGTTCTCCATGCTTGCAATTCGAGTGTTTTCTCCTGTCTACTTACGATGTGGCAAGGAAATTGGCACTCTTTTTTGACATTTTCTGAGTTTGCCAACACATTGCACCTTTCTGGAGAGAGGTTCTTAGCCTCTTGCGGTTACTTCTATGGGTTCATATCCCATTTGACCCCTTTCACCTTTATTAGGCTTACCTTTTACAGGCCTCTCCAAATTTGCTAAGAAACTATCTTCCTATGTCTTAACAGTGACCAGGAAAACCATTCCCATGCATTGGTTATCTACTACACCTACACAGTCGGAATTGGTGAAAGTTATCATTGAGAATAGAAGAATGGAGTATCTAACTGCTATGCATGCTAATTTTTTCCCCCTTTTTGAATCAGTTTGGGAACCATGGGATCTTTTCATTTCTGATATGTCTACTCAGATGTCTGCTTTTGCTGGCTAATCCACTGTTATCCACTGATATTATATGCATATGCATTTTCATCAATGAGTCTGTTTCTTTTTCTTTTGTTGCTTTGTTATAGATTATTGTTATCTCACTACTCTATGAAACTTTTTGTCTGTTGTGTTTCTTTTGAAAACTCAATAAAAACTAAATCATAAAAAAAACAAGTCACCAACTGACAATTTCCTCTTTATTTCTTTTCTGATGGCAACCTATATTTTTGTATTATGTCCAGTCCTGGTGACAGTTTTCATCAGGACTACAAGAGAGAGTGAATGTAATCAGCAGAAATACAAAAAGTAAAAAAAAAAATTTTACTAAAAATTATTATACCTTCACTAATCAATTCAAAATTTTGTTTTAAAGACTTTAGATACACCTAAACACCATAGTACTTATTTAAAAATCTGCTATATTTTTTATAAACTATAACTAATTGCATGTTATAAACAAACAATTCTTTAAATATAGTTTATTACTTTAGTAGAACTCACCATTGCCTATATGAGAACATAGGAATATTCCCAGGAAAATAAGAGGTGTAATACGGACCAGGTTCATCTTCAGTGTGGTGTAGAGGAGGCTGGAACTCTGGAGGGAGTCTGACTTTCAAATGTACAGAAAAGCGACTGGGCTGACTATTAATGGAGAGGTGGTAGGTGGAAATTTACACTTCCTCCTGGTGGGCATCAACCCTCCCCCTGATCTGAAGCCCCTCTAAAATGGAATGTTTCTTGCAGTGGACAAGTACATATAAGGTAACGGAAACCTCAAACCTCTAAGCCTCCGTTATAGTGGAAAGTTACAGGTTCTCATTCTTTCATCTTGGTTCTGGTTTGGTCTTCCTGTGAGAGTACAATAGAAAGTATGACTAGTTTATGTATGCTAACCACTGCTCAGGATAGAAAGCAATGTTTGTATTTAGCATAATAGCTATGAAATAAATGATGATGATCTAACTAACTCAAAATAAATGTATACAATATCATATTTTCCAGGATGGCTTGGCATTTTGTGTTTTCACAGTTCTTATTAATGATGCATGGAGATGCTAAATATAAAGTTGATTAATGAAGGTTATGACAGCTAAATGTATTGAGTATAAAGTGCCAACTGTTACTTTTCAAGCTTCCCCTTTAGCTTAACGTGCACCTATGACCAGACTATTGACAATAAACATTTTACATCAGAGGTATTCAACCTGTGACCCTCGGAGCCCTCTGATGTGGCCCTCAGCCTCAAATCAGGAAAGCGCACTTCTATAACATCCTGCGGGTTTGCTATGCTTTCTGAAAACGCACCAAAACTCCTGAGTGCAGTAGTTTTGGTGCACTTTTTCAGAAAGTGCACCACATCCCCAAAATATAATAGAAGTCTATGGCAAAGCTCAGCTAACCCCCAGGAAAGCAGCTGGTGCACTGCATTGCACACACGTTGTGGGTACAGCACAGTGCATTAGTGTCAACGCAGCTATATAGGGGGCTGAGGACAGTAAGGGCTCATTTACATTTACATTACATTTGAGGGGGGTGGTAATACCCCATAGTTGAGGTGTGTTTTTACCACATCCCTCCAACCACTGGTGTAGCATCTGGGGTCACAATGTTGACCCCACCCCATGCTCCAGGGGGTCCTGTGCAGCCTCCCTGTCATATTCTGTTTACAATTGGACAGGAGAGGCAGCAGGGGCAGCATATACAGGAACAGACCCTCTCCATTTTCCTCCTGCAACTACTAAAAGCTAACTTCTTCTTCTCTCCCTCCCATTGGCTTTCAGCGCGCTGCAGAAGAAATGTTCATTGTGCTATTCAAATTAAAATATTAAAAATTCTGGACCATTTCATTTCATTGTGGTCCGTGACTGGTTACCAAATCACTTAAGCGGCCCTCATTCTTCAAAAGGCATCCCTGTTTTACATATTCCTAACAAGCAGTAAAAGAGCTTCAAAAAGCCATCTGACCTATCTAGCTGCTTTTAAGGTGAAGTTATTCATTCTTGATGATCACAACAAAGACTCTAAAGTCTGTTTCAATAATGTCTCAGCAAAACTTTAACCACTTGCCGACCGCGCATAGCCGAATGACGGCTTCACCGCGGCCGGCCAGTTCTGAGTGGACGTCATATGACGTCCTCCCAGACCCAGAACGCGCTCTCCTGCGCGCCCCAGGGGGCGCGCACCCGGCGATCTCCGTGATCGCTGTGTCCTACGGACACAGCTGATCACGAGATGTGGTGAAAGGCCGATCCCACCGGCCTTTTACCACGTGACACGCTGATCACAGGAAAATGCAAGTGCCGGTTCTCGGCTGCACTTTCCTCACGCTGTCAGATCGTGAGGAAAGTACTGCCGAGAACCGGCAGTTGTCAGAGCGGGGATCGGCACCGATCATCAGGGCACTGATGATCAGTGCCCTGATGATCGGTGCCCAGCAGTGACCCCCGCAAGTTCCGATCAGCTGTGCGCCCACTAGCCCCGCCCACCCATTCCCAGCGGTGCCCCCACCTGTGCCCAGCAGTGCCCCCACCTGTGCCACTCTGCAGTGCCACCTACCTGTGCCCAGCAGTGCCACCTACATGTGCCCAGCAGTGCCACCCACCTGTGCCCACCCACCTGTGCCCCACCAGCGCCACCCACCTGTGCCCACCAGTGCCACCCACCTGTGCCCACCCACCAGTGCTGTCCACCAGTGCCACCCACCAGTGCCACCCACCAGTGCTGCCAGTCAGTGCCACCAGTCAGTGCCCAGGGGTTGTGCCAGTCAGTGCCGCCAGTCAGTGCCCAGAAGTGATGCCAGTCAGTGCCGTCTATCAGTACCCATCATCAGTGTCACCTATCAGTGCCGCCTATCAGTGCTGCATATCAGTGCCGCCTATCCGTGACCCCTAATTAGTGCTGTCTATCAGTGCCGCCTATCCGTGCCACCTCATTAGTACTGCCTATCAGTGCCCTTTAGTGCTGCCTATCAGTGCCCATCAGTGCCGCCTATCAGTGCCCATCAGTGCCGCCTCATCAACGCAAATCAGTGAAGGAGAAAAAATACCTGTTTGAAAAATTTTATAAAAGAAACAAATAAACTTTTTTTTTTTTTTTCAAATTTTTTGCACTTTTTTTAATTTATATAGCGCAAAAAGTAAAGCGCCCAGTGGCGATTAAATACCACCAAAAGAAAGCTCTATTTGTGAGAAAAAAATGATCAAAATTTCATATGGGTACAATGTTGCATGACCGCGCAATTGTCAATCAAAGTGCGGCAGCGCTGAAAGCTGAAAATTGGCCTGGTAAGGAAGGGGGTATAAGTGCCTGGTAGGCAAGTGGTTAAGAGCATTTACAGATCATCAATTTAATGTTAACAGCAATTGATGATCCTAGAATAATTGTTCTCACTACAGCGTGTGTGGCAATAACTATAATGCATGGATAATCTCGGATTTACTTATGCATATGCATCAGATGAGGATGTTTTTATGTCTGTTTGTGTGTGTACATTGGGGCCTTTAAACACTTTTCTAAATTAAGTTTTCATTAAACTTTAATGTTTTCTTATTTAACTAATTTTACTTATTTAACTTAACAATATTGCTATCACAAGACGGCTGACAAGCCTCCTATGTGATATCAGTGCAGGTCACAGGTCTATTAGACCCCTAATGTCAATTCTGCCCTCTGCTGAAGATGATCAAGCTCAGGCTGTGCTTGATCAGCTTCTTCCCCGACCAGAGTTGCTGGGGTTTGACAGCTCTGAAGCTAGAAGTGCTATGGGCGGAGCACTTCTGGTTTTCAACTACCTTCAGAGGAGAAAAGCAATTGGATGTTCACTGATCTCGAACCACTTTCCCTCCAGAAATTTGTTGTGTAGGTCTCGAGCACCCAGGAAGTACAGGTAAGCGCAGGACCCAGGCAGTGGGGTGAGGCGGGATGGGGGGGGCGCCTTACTGTACATGTATAAATGATAGGGTGGCCTTGCAGCCCAAAACACTTCTACAAGAAAGCCAAAATCCATGAAAAAGGTAAACAATCTCCTGTCTTCTTTAGTATCCAAGAGTTTTACATGCTGGCAGTGTTGCCCCTGTAATGGTTACACAAGTAGCAAAAGGATCAAAAAGTACATATAGCACAAATAATCAAAGCAAAGTGTGTAATCATATATGCATGTGGGTGATCATATTTGCTGATTATATAAAAAGGCTGTACATCTTTGGTGCTCAGCCTGCTGCCTGGGTAAATGATGCATAGTAGTCTATGTTTTTGGTCCTTTTTTATTAAGAAAGTTTTTATAAAATTTACTAAATATTTTGGGGGTATTTTAATCATTGCTTTGTTATTTTCATGGTTTAAGTTTTAACAATCCAAAAATTTACAGATGAGTTTGCCAAAACACACACAGACACACAAGCAATACACCCTTAAAAAGACACATAAGAAAAGAGAAGAAAAAAATGGGGGCATACTGTATATACAGATAAACATCCTCATCCATTCTTACTCTTCTTTTACAGAAGGGTGGGCAGCTATATGACAGATGGGTTTTATTATTGACAGGTGAGGTTTATTATTGAAAAAAGTAAAGAAATGGAGCTGGGAGCTAAAAACATGATGCCCTCTAGGGGAGAATGCCTGAGGGAATCAAGAATAGAAAAGGATCTCGGGATCCTATTAGATCACAGATTCAGCAATAGCATGCAAAGCCAATTTGTAGCAAGCAATTAGCATGCATGCAAAATGGTACTTACTCAAGGGATAAAACTATAATTATTATTATTATTATACAGTAATTGTCAATTTACAATAATTTCATCCTTTTCAAAACTCTGGTTCCACATCTTGAGTATGCCATCCAGTTTTGGTGTCCAGTCCCCAAGAATGATGTGCTTGAATTGGAAAGAGTCCAGAGAAGGTCAATAAAGCTAATGAGGGGACTGGAGGGCCTCAGTTATGAGGAAAAACTACAGACATTAAATTTATTCTCCCTGTAGCAGAGACACATACGATGGGATATGATCGCAATATGCAAATCTCTAATTGGTGACTCTAGCATTGGGAGGTAACTATTTAACCAGAGGTCTCTAAAAAAACACATGAAGTTGGACAAAAAGCAGTTTAGTATTAAACTGGTTCTTTACTGTTAGAGTGGTAAGGATGTGGAAACCACTTCCACAGATGATGATGTCAGCAGTGAGTGTATCTAAATTCAAAACGCTCTTAGATAAGTTTCTCAACAAACTCAATGTCAGTGAACACATGACATCTAGTCATATGAACAGAGTGATTCACTCAATAATGTCTCAGCAGAGAGGTTTTTGAATTATTAAAAGTTGCCCGCCCTTCCCTGACAGAGTAACAAGTCTGAAAATTGTGTTTAACAATTCTAACTTCCTCCAACAAGCACATTTTAGAGACCCTCAGCAGCCACTGAAGCGGTGGTTGGTTTCTATTGTTTGAGAATTAGAAACTTTTTCTGCATGTACTAGGTGGGGTTGTCATTTTTTCAGATTTTGAGACTAAAATGTTGGTTTTATGGAAGAAGATCACAAACGAGTCAAGAGAGAAGGAGATGGATGACATTATTCCACTAGTTTCAGTGTTTGTCCTCAATAAGTCGCAATCAGGGGCAATAAATACCTATACGAAACAATGTCCTTATGTAAAACAATGCCCCTACCTGCACTACAGAATGAATGGATCAACTTTAGCACAACCAGCCTGCCCCCTGCTGAACCAGCTGAATTTCGATCCATCTATGGCTGGCTTTAGTGAGAACAAATAACTTTTCTATAAGATAAAGATCCTCCAAAGAATGCAATGATTTTGAAAAATTTCATGTAAAATTGTGAACTTGCTGCCACATCCAATAATCTATTGAAGTTATCCATAACTTTATCCCACACTCATGTAAGCTACCCCTTATCACATGGTGTAACCTTAGTGTGCCTTCTGCTTTCCAATAGTAAAATGTACAACTAACCCTGGTATAAACTGAGGATTAGCAGTCAAGGGCTCCAAAGGCGGGTTTGTTATCCATTTCTGTGTTCTCCACAGTGTATCCCATGCCTTGACACTATATTTAGTTTATGAGGCTAAGTTGCTGAATTGTCTCTGTATCCAAAGCATATTTGCTAGGATCTTGAAGAACTCATTTCTACCTACTGGTTCTTACAGTAGTTTTGCCGTGGTGTCATTCCAATGTTCTAGATAGTATTACTACCTGGCCAAGAAATGGGCAAACCTAGCCCCCACAGTTCTTTTGAACATCTTAACCTTCTGGTCAAAATATCCATAAATAACATAACTAAAAAAATAGGAAGTGTCAAATGTTTATTTGGTTTTCCTACATTGTGGTAGCTGTGCCTGTCTGACAACACAGAAAACTAATGGTTCTGGACTGACTAAGGTCAGCTAGAGGAAGGAAAGGGAGCATTTGGGAATGGGGTTTTCCCCAACATGCTGATACAGTAATTGCTAAGGAGACAAGGAAAAACACTGAAATTCCAAACTATCATTAGGTAAAGCTGGAACTGTGTAAGAACATAGCAGAAAATGAAGTGGTGATCAAATGAGTAAATCATGAAAGCCTCAGGTGAGGTCCCCAAAATGTCCAAATATGCCACACAGTAACTTTGTTTTTATATTTTTAAAGGCAGTGTAAAAAAAACAATAACAGTAGTCACAGCTAAATGCCCATTGCAGATTTAAAGGATAATGTTTTCCTTTTATTGTGTTGTACATGTTCTGTATATCAACTGGTGTATTTGGTTGTATTTAGAGGTCATTTTAAAAATTACTAAAAAAAGGGGTTAGCAACTTTTGCATTTGTAACACTAGGAACATGAACTAAATGCAAAACGTTTTATTTTTATATTGGATAGTGTAATGGTTGTAAACCCTGACAGTTTTTTTTTGCCATCTGTGTCCCATTGGACATAGGAAATTTGAGCTTTGCCTTTACTTACTTTTTGCAGTAACATTAAACAGGACAAATAGAGAGGATGAATCTTCTAATCCCTCTCCACTCCATCCAAAACTAAAACAAAGAAGGTTGCCTTCACTTATACTGTACTTTAATGCCTTTTTTAAAATTTTAAGTTTCTTTAAAAACTTTTTTTTTTCACCTGGAGATCCAGTCAGTAAATCTTTTATTTTTCAACTTACTTTAACAGACCACAGTGGCAGTTAAATGGTTGAGACACACCATTTACCACTGACAGGGGTTCTTACAATGCTTAGCTTCTATTCATTTATGTAAAACCTTTTATCCAAAAGGAAAAAAAAACTGTTTGCTGAAACTGTTGGCTGGAGTTCAGTTTCGATTTTTTAGTCCAGTCCATCGAAATGCGCTAATCAGTTTTTTTTGGTTCAAGCAGCATGTTGAAAGACAAAAGGTAACCTGATTTCCCCATCCACACACTCCATGTGGATGGGTGAATCACTCCTGCTGAGTTGTGTTCTGACTGTGGGGAGACAGTGGGGGTCTATAGTGCAGCACTGTGGACCCTGCTTTGGTCTTGATGACATCAGGCCAATGGACATTTGGAACATAGGGGAGAAGAAGCTGCTGGGACCAGTCTAGCTGTGGAGGTTTGGATAAGTAAATCTTTTATTTTCCCTCTAGAACAACACAATCAATTAGCTCTTTGTAGTGCAGGCACAGTCCCATTGCAGGGGATCATTTT